TTAATCATGAAAGCAACTCTAATTCTCTAAGATATAAAGTCAGATTAGTGGTGAAAGGTTTCCTTCAAAGAAAGGGTGTTGATTTTAATGAGATTTTCTCACCTATTAAGTTTAACTCTTACTCTTGATTTAGAGGTTGAGCAAATTGATATAAAAATGGCTTTTCTTCATGGTGATTTGGAGGAAGAGATATACATGAAATAACCTGGTGGTTTTCAGGTTAAAGGAAAAGAATATCATGTTTGTATATTGAGAAAAAGTCTATATGGGTTGAAGCAAGCTCCAAGGCAATGGTACAAGAATTTGAGTCTGTTATGTGTGATCAAAGATACCAGAAGACTACTTCAGATCATTGCGTCTTTGTTAAAAAAAATTCTAATGATGACTTTATTGTGGTATTGTTATATGTTGATGATATAATGATTATAGAGAAAAATATTTTAAACATTAACAGGTTAAAGAAGCAGTTGGGAGAGTCATTTTCCACGAAAGACATGGGAGTAGTTAAACAGATTTTTGGTATTAGAATCATGCATGACAGAAAAGAGAAGAAACTTTGGATGTCACAAGAACATTATATCTAAAGATTGCTACAAAGATTCCAAATGAAAAGTTGTAAGGCGATAAGCACTCCTCTTGCTACTCATTTTAAATTGAGTTCTAATCAAAGTCCTTCAAATGAAGATAAAGCGTTTGATATGAAATGTGTTCCTTATGCGTCTGTTATGGGCATTTTGATGTATGCAATGGTGTGTACAAGACCAGATATAACACATGTTGTTGGTACAGTCAGTAGATTTTTGTCAAATTCAGGTAGAGAGCATTGGAATGCTGTAAAATGGGTTTTGAGATATCTTTGTGGTACTACTTGTATGAGGATTTTCTTTGGAGGAGATGAGCCTACTCTAGTGGGATACTCTGATTTTGATATGGCTAGAGATATTGATTCCATAAAGTATATTCCAGGCTACATGATTAAATTTGTAGGGGGGGGGTTATGGATTTGCAGTCTATATTGCAAAAGTGTGTAGCATTATCTATTACAGAGATTGATATTATTTCCATTACTGAAGCATGCAAAGAGTTACTTTGGTTGAAGAAATTTTTGCAGGAGCTTGGTTTTGTTCAAGACAAATATGTGTTATTTGTTAATAGTCAAAGTGTTATTCATCTTGGTAAGAATCTGACTTTTCACAATAGGTCCAAACACATTGATGTGAGATATCATTGGATACATGATGTTTTGGATGCTAAATTGTTGGAGTTAGCTAAAGTTCATATAAATGATAATGGTTTTGATATGATGACTAAAGCGTTACCAAGAGAAAAATTTGAAGATTGTTGTGATATTGCCAGTTTAGGAGAGTTACTAGGAGCATTGATACAAAGTTAAAGATTATGCACCTTTGTGAGAGACACACCACGTATCCACCTAAAATCTTAAGGTAATAGGTGAGTGGGTTCTCCCACTTATATATGCTCAAGTCTCCACATTTCTATCCAATGTGGGACTATTTCCCCACTTACTCACACTTGCATTATTATTCTAACACTCCCCTCAAGTGTGAGTGCACAATGCTTCCCCTCGAGACACTTGTAGTGTCGTTGACACCTTGCATCAGAACACCTCTTCTTGGGCATTTCGATACAAGTAAGCTGGTCCCGTTCTCGAATCAAAGATTACAATACCATTTGTTGGGGGAAAGGGGGAGTTACTAGGAGCATTGATACAAATACTAGTTCTCTGTCTCGATCCTCATCGGTGGTGAATAATTAAATCTCAAACTCATTTCAAATAGGTTTAAGTATCCTCACTCACCCCATGTTGTAGTGTAATTAATTTTTTAATAGAAAATATCAAATTAACTTACAAATAAAATATAAAATAATCTCGAAAAATTCCGAACATAAATTTTCAAATAAAAACGTAAAAACTAAAATATCAAAGTATTGACAATACAATTAATATTTTAAAGTATTAAATTAAATAATAAAAAACAAATTGATATAAAATGGAGAGTTAAAGGTCGGTACTAATGTCCTTATTTGATCTGTCATCGTATTTTGTAATAAAAAAGAAACCAATATCTAGATTCAAACCTAATCAAAATGAATTTTTCTCTCCAAACTTGAAATGGATTCAAGTGAGTATCCATGGATATCGATTCTGTAGCAATGCGTATAAATAAGTATTACATTGCTTTCTCAAACATCTATTAGCTTTTTGTTGGTTGATGAATAAAACCACTTCCATAACAAAAGGAGGGAATTAAGGCTCAATAGGGCCCAAATAATTCAAGTATAAAGGAACTCATAAAGAGGGTGGATCTTTTATCTAAACCTCATATGTGTTAAAGAGAGAGAAAGGAAAATGACCGAGACCATTAGGGGTAGTCATTAATTTGGATAAATTTGAACCAAACTGAAATCCAAATCAAATCATAGTGTTGGGATTGGATATTTTTTTAGTTCGGACAAGAACTGAACCAAATCAATGAAATCCAATGACAATTAATTTAGACACTAAAATATCACACCTAAGGTTGTGCATGGTAATCGACCCGTGAAAACCGAACCATTTTTGGTCAAGGTTTAAAAACCAAATCATTATCTCCAAAAACTGGTTCATGTATGTGAAATGGATTCAAATTGGTTTGGATTCGTTTTAAAATCAGTTTTGATTAAAACACAAATTTCAATTAAAGATCTCAACTGATAATTAACAGTGAGATAGTTCCCATTCAACGATGTTCAAACCATCATTTATGTGAATGTTGTCGGTTCCACAAATGCCACGTGCCATTGTTTCTGTAAATGGCATTATCTCCATCATTCTGCAAACACAACAAGTCATCGTTTCTATGAAGATCGTCGGTTCCACAAATGCCAGAAATCATCCTTTATGTGAATGTCATCATCGTCGGTTTCGCGGCCTCTGAGTGTTGCCAGTTCCGTGAACATTAAGGATAAAAGCAAAAAAATTCTCAAAATATTGACAAATACAATTGACAAATATGTAAACTGATTCACATAAAATGGATTCAGAAACTCAAATAACTAACTAGTTACAGAAATTTGAAATGAGAAACACATGTGACTTTGATAAAAGAGAAAGTAAACTAGTTTATAAACTAATACTTCACAAAACAATACTCAATTATTGATTTTGGGTTTAAATTGATTTTTTACAAATGGTACAGTTTGGGAGCAAGACTTATTTGAACTCAAACCCAAATATTTAATGTTTGGGCATACACACAAAATCCAACAAAAAAAAATGGTCTTATCATATTATTTTATATTATTTTAATTTTTTACTTTTTAAATTTATTTTGATATGTGAGTGTGCCTAAATATAAAATATTTGTATTTGTGTCTATACTAGCATTTCTCACAATTTGGTTATGGATCAATAAAGGTAAACCACTTTTTTTTAACACCTCTAATTGCACCATGGTGACTTTTAGAGTTCATAAATTGTTAAATTTGTGTAGTCATACATAAACACTCTTTTAACCTTTGATTTATATTATAAAAAATGAATGGTTTGAAGAATTAAAAAATTATACTAATAGAAAGATTTAAAGAATTATAAAGATTTAAATATATTATTAATGATTTTTTAGAATGATATTCCTAGGATTATTATTTTTGGGAATATTATTCCAATCCATGTATTTGGTAAGAATTTAGGTTTTTAAGAATAATTAAAAAATTTATTTAATTTTAAATTATAAAAAAAAAAATAGTAAATAGAAGTGATAGTGGGGAGTTAGAGTTAGTTGAATTTATTTCCATGAGAATGTTTTATTCTCACTCTTTATGTCTTGGAATAAGAATAGAGAATCTATGAGTAAATAATATTCTTTGAAATAAAAAATTCTTTAGAATGATTTTTTAAAACTTGAATCAAACATGAGAATATTACATTCCTATTGTCATATTTCCAGAAATAATTTTTGTAACCTTGAAACAAACACACCCTAAAAGAGAGGTTAACGGGAGGAGACCAATCATTAAAATTATGACGAAATGGTGGTTCAAATTAGGATGAAATGATAAGTAAAATAGAAACTCCTTCAAGCTGGGAACCACTCCACCCCTGCTATATCTGCTATAGTGTTCTACATGGCTAATACTCTTTTCACAGCGACCGGCCTCTGCTCCGCTCTGCTGTAGTAGGATAGAGGAGCATTGATATAAAATTAAGGACTAAGTACATTTGCGAGAGATACGTTATTTATCTTCTTAAAATTTTAAGATGATAGGTGAGTGGATTCTTCCACTTATATATGTTTAAACCTCTGATTCTTATCCAATGTGAAATGTTGTTGACATTTTGATACAAGTAAGTCAGTTTCTTTCTCAAATCAGACTCTAATACGATTTGTTAAAGGGAATTATTAGGAACATTAATATAAAGTTGAGGATTATACATCTTTGTGAGAAACACATTACTTATCCATTTAAAACCTTAAGGTAATAGGTAAGTGAATTTTCCCACTTATAAATGTCTAAATCACTACATATTTATTCAATGTAAGACTATTTTTCCACTTACTCGTACTTGTATTATTATTATAACATTCAATGTGTAATAGATAGAACTAGTTTAACTCCTTATAATCTTTAATTCCTATTCTTTTTCCTATGAAATTTGTGATGTACCAATTTAATATTCTCCCAGTATTACTACATTTCAAAATAGGCTTCTTTTTTTCACAATTCTTTTATACATCATAAAATTTTGCAAATTCAACTGATTATTGTTGGACATTGATTTAATTGTTTCATAATTTTGTTTATTTCTATGGCTTCTTTCTTTGATTACTGTTGTTTATTTTATTAATTCTATCGTGCTATTTTATCTAATCATAGTGCACGAACTCTTCACTAGTTATACTCATACTTTTGTTCATTCACATCAAATAAATAAATTCACTTTGATTTTGGCTTACTTTGAATGATAATAATATGATTTTTTTTATGAGTATTTGCAGCAAATGAGGCACTTGCAAGGATGGCAAGCTTTGGAATTTTGCCCAACATGATAGTGTATTTGATGGGAACTTACAAACTTTCTCTTGGAAAAGCTACCCAAGTACTCATTTTATCCTCTGCAGCCACCAATTTCATGCCAGTAGTTGGTGCTTTTGTTGCAGATTCTTATCTTGGCCGGTTCTTAGTTGTTGGATTAGGTTCTACTTTTACTTTCCTGGTATATATATTTATTCAAACTTGTACTACACTCAATCAAGAGCTATGAAGCGCAGACACAGACACAACACCGAGACTGACACGTTGACACTGATAATAAATTAAAAAAAATAAATAAATCACATCTAATCACAAATGTCGGTATCGTGTCGGTGTCCAACAGTAACACAAACTCAGACACACTATTTTTCAGAGGTGTTGGTGCTAACAGATTATTCTCTTTGTTGTTATAGGGAATGTCAATTCTTTGGTTAACAACAATGATCCATCCAGCCGAAGATGGTAAATCAGCAACACTAGGAGAAATGGCAACTCTACTCTCTGCCTTAGGTCTCATGTCTATTGGAAATGGAGGCCTTTCATGCTCCTTGGCATTTGGTGCAGATCAAGTGAATAGAAAAGATGATCCAAATAACCATACGTTCCTGGAAATTTTCTTTAGTTGGTATTATGCTTTCACAATTATCTCTGTGATAATAGGTCTCACTGGAATAGTATATATCCAAGATCATCTTGGATGGAAAATTGGTTTTGGAGTTCCAGCAATACTCATGCTTTTGTCCACTCTCTTCTTCTTTCTTGCCTCTCCTCTTTATGTAAAGATTCGTAAAAGGACCAATTTCTTCACTGGTTTTTCACAAGTAGTTTTTGCTTCCTATAACAACAGAAATATTCTATTGCCACCTAAAAACTCTAGTCATTTTTACCATCAGCCCAATGACTCGGATTCTTCTGTTGTTCCAACCGATAAACTAAGGTAAAATCATCTTTTTGCTTTTTCATATTCTCTAAAGTTTTATGAAATATTTCATTACCTTGTGCTTTTTATTTTTCCTTTTCAGTATTACTATTCCACATAAAAGTCGTGGATAAAGGAGTAGTTATATATAGAACATGATTTTAAATTACGGTCGCGAATGCGGTTGCAGGTGTTGAAATTGTGGTTGCTGCCATGCGCAATGCGTATTTTAATTTAGACCGGTCATGTTAAAACACTTGAAGTTAATATTTTTCATTACATAGGAATAGTAGTAAGGAAATTGAGTTTTGAAGTTATGAAATTTTGAGTTTTGATGAAAATACTTAAGAGACATGGGTGAAATTGTCTGACGTGATTTCTAATGGCGGCCACATGGGCGAAATTGTCTCATGTGGTTTCTAATGGTGGAACGACTCATGATTTTAATTTACACTACAATTGTGGACTGATGCGACTGTAGAGGCTATGACATCAGCCAAGATTTTAAAAAACGGTTGCGGTCGTGTTGCAGTCACGTAAAGACTTTTTCATTTTTGGCCAGTACATGTGTTGCAATAGTGATTGTAGTCGTGAAAGTGTGAATTTACCATAATTTCTTTTTCATCATAAGATTGGTAAATAATAGTATCGGTATTGGTATCGACACATTTCAATACTGTTTTGTCGTGACCGTTTTCAAAGTAACAAACAATTTTTTAAAACCTTGACATCAACAATATTGCGGCTGGTTGTGAACTGCAATTTAAAACCATATAATAGAGTGACAATAGCGGAATTGTAACTCGTGTAACTAATTTGTAACAAACTTTCATATATCAGGTTTTTCAATAAAGCTTGTGTTATTAAAGATCATGAACAAGACAAAGCTTGTGATGGCTCCACAATAAATCCATGGAGTTTGTGCACTGTAGATCAAGTAGAAGAACTAAAATCCATTGTTAGAGTTATTCCATTATGGTCAACAGGGATCATGATGTCCCTTAACATTGGAGGCTCATTTGGATTGTTGCAAGCCAAATCATTGAACAGACATATCACCTCACACTTCGAAGTACCAGCAGGATCTTTCAGTGTTATCCTTGTAGGTGCAGTATTCATATGGATAGTTATCTACGACCGCGTTCTTATTCCATTAGCGTCAAAGATACGAGGTAAACCAGTGAGGATCAGCGCGAAAAAAAGAATGGGAATCGGGTTATTCTTTTATTTTCTCTACTTGGTAACTGCAGCGACTTTCGAGACTATAAGGAGAAAGAAAGCAATCAATGATAGTGATGAAGGAGTTTCGAAAATGTCTGCAATGTGGCTTGCGCCGCAACTTTGCTTGGCTGGTATAGCTGAAGCATTCAATTTAATAGGCCAAAATGAATTTTATTACACAGAGTTTCCAAGGACTATGTCTAGTGTTGCTGTTTCACTTCCTGGATTGGCAATGGCTGCAGGAAATTTGGTTTCTTCTTTTGTGTTTAGCACTATAGAAAATGTTACTTCAAGAGGAGGGAAAAAAGGGTGGATTTGTGATGATATTAATGAAGGTCGTTTTGATAAGTACTATTGGGTTATAGCTGGTGTTAGTGCTGTCAATGTAGTCTATTATTTAGTATGTAGTTGGGCTTATGGACCTTCCGTTGAAGAGTTAAATAAGGATTATATAATTGATTAACAGTATATAGAAGGCTATATGGAGATAGAGATGCTGAATTTGAAAGATTGTATAGTTGATATATATGTTGAAGTCTAAATAGACAAAAAATCGTAGATAAATGTATCTATATTTAAATTAATGGGAGGTGTCAGTGTAATTTTAATAGACCTCAGGAAAAATTAATGCATATTTTAAAACTAGAGAAAGTGTCGATATTGTTTTAATAGACCTTAGCGAATGTGGTGTAATCCTTTCCTTGTTAATGGAGCAAAGTGCATGAGTATAGTCTAGTTCTGAGGTAACAACTTTAGCATTGAAGAAGATATGAATAAATCTCAGTTAAAGTGGAGGCATAATATCTTTTCTTAAGCATATTTACTTATCTTGTTAATAAGGTAAAGATATGAAATAATAAAGGTTATTCAGAAGTAAACAAACACTAGTTCATTATATTTATATATTTACTTTGTAATACCATTTTATCATATTACATCATGGCTCTTGAACACAAATTTGTGGAGCTTCTTCAAGAACCAAATCAAACAAACCAAAACTCACACCCAAAGATCCAAAAGGTTGCTGAGTATCTCCGAAATAGAAAAAATTTTGAGAAGCAATACTCACCCAAGATGGTGTCAATAGGTCCCATCCATCATGGCAAAGAAAATCTCAAGTTAGGAGAGAAATATAAGCTTACTTGGGCAGCAAGATACATCAAAAGCACCCAATGCAGTGCACAACTTCTACACAAAAGGATTGCTGATAACATCGTTGAACTCAAGAGTCTTTTTGCGGACGATGTTTTAGCTTTAGCCGATACCGCAGATTCTCTAAAATGCTTCAGCAGCCTTGCTGAAAAGCTGTCATGGCTTTTGTTTGTGGATGGATGTTCTTTGCTGCATATTTTGGTGAATGTGAATCTTGACCAACTTGATGAACCAAAAGATGTAGATATTAAGGTTGATCAGCTTGTTCTTGTGATGATGGATGTGCTTTTGTTGGAGAATCAGCTTCCTTATCTGGTACTGAAGCTGTTGTGGAAAAATGACGAGGATGAATTGTTATTTACTATGAAGAATTTTCTCAAATGTCATCATTGGGCCACACCAGAAACTAAGAGGACCATGATCTGGGCAAGTATTATAGCGAATAAGAGAACACATTTTTTCTCTAACATGGCTCACAGCAAAAAGGAAAAAGAAAAACATCATACAGTGAACATAACGAATGAGTCACCGATTCATCTTCTTGATCTTCAGCGTAAAATCATCCTCACTAAATCGAAACCCAAGGTAAAAATTTAGTCTTTTTTATTTTATTATATATCATAAGTAAGATGATGAATTGAAACTCATTTGTTATGTATACTTAGACTGAAGCCAGTAATGAAGCTAACAAGAAGAAACCAAGTGAAAAAAATTCAGACGAAAAAACCAAGATGATGACATACAGGAACATACAAGATCTAAGAGCAGTTGGAATAAAACTTAAATCAAGCGAGACGCGAAGGCCAACAGACGTAGATTTCGTGGAGGGTTGGTTCGCTGCAGAACTGACTCTTCCTGAGATTGTGGTGGACGATACGACAGCTGCTACTTTCCTGAACCTGATAGCGTACGAGATGTGTCCAGATTTTAAGAACGACTACGGGATATGTTCATTTGCGGTTTTCATGGATTCATTGATTGACCATCCCGAAGATGTGAAGGAATTGAGATCAGAAGGTATTTTGCTGAATTCACTTGGGAGTGATGAGGAAGTTGCTGATCTTTTCAACATTATAAGTACTGACTTGGTACCTAACTGGGAAACATATTTTGAAGTTAGAGCGAAAATACACGAGCATTACTGTAATAAATGGAAGACTTGGATAGCCCTTGGTTATCACACTTATTTCAGCAATCCTTGGGCTATCACTGGTTTCGTTGCTGCGTTTATCGCACTTGTTCTCACTTTCGTTCAAACATGGTTTTCCATTTACCCGCACTCATAAACATGGTTTGTTGTGAAGAGTGCTTTTTGCTTTGTGGTGTTGCTGCGTTTGTCTGTTTTTTAAAGATGTGTGTGGTTGAATTGAAACATGTAATTTTCAAAATACTAGTTTGTTTATTCAAATTTTTGTTCTGATTGTTGTGATTATTGACTCATATATTCATATACATTAATAAGTGAATAGACCGAATCATCTAGTAACTAGAGCTGGCTTATTTTTTCTTACTATCAAAGAAATGAAGCCTTGAAATCTGATTGTGCTGCGCAGGGTAATTACTTTGGAATATTTCTAATACACACCTTTTTTAAGTTGTATTTATATAAAACTGAAAATGCATTTATAATGTAAACTGAAAATATATTTTTGATTCCAACTACATCCTTTAAGATGAACGTTAATATGAATTAATTAAATATTAATAGTGAAATTTATTAATTTTGTAATAAATTTATATTGAAATACTTTAACAATAGCTTTCAAAAGGACCAACTTTTCTTTTGGTGTTGTTACTATGTCTCTATAATAAATTTTATTTATTTTAAAATAAATTTGTTTCGTAATTTTGTTTATTTAAATTAAAATAATAAACTATCAATTTCAATATTTATCACCAACCATTTTAAATTGTGTCATGTACATTAAAAAAACTTATTTAGAGTGTGTATATGTATATTTATGGTATACTAATATTTATAATAGTTTATAGTAAAATATTTTTTTTCATTTCTTTTTATAAAAGACGCTTCACTTTTTTAAATTTATTGAATAATTAATATATTTGATCTGTAAACAGTTTAGATATATTAATTATTCAATAAATTTAAAAAATGAAATATCTCTTATAAAAAAGGATCGGAGAGAATAATAAACTATAAAACCAAATGAATAGAAATGTTTAAATTAAAAAATATTAAATATATAAATATTTAAGAGTCTAATCAGATATTATAAAAATCATCACTGACTTAGTGGAAATTTAATTCATATTAATTTCATCTTAAAGGATGTTTCAGGAATCGGAAGTATATTTATTATTTATATCTGAAATGTATTTCTGATTTTAATTTTATCATAAAATAAGATAAATTTTAAAAATAAATAAATTATATGTGTGTGAAGATACGCACTAAAAATATATTTTTGATTTTTAAAGACATTTTAAAAATTTCACATGGTAGACTAGAAATATATAGAATAAAATAAAAATCTTCTTATTTTAAGACAAATTCTTATTTACCCATTTAAAATAGTTAGGTAACTTTACCCATCCTAAGTGTCAAATATTAATTGGTCCAAATGTCCAATTTATTATATTATTAATAATAATTGTTACTATTTTATAATTACAAATGTACCCTAAATTTATTAAATGTAGATTATCATTTTCAAATCATTGAATATCACTCTTATACTATTTAAATTTTGACATTAGAATTTTTTTTAAATAATCACATTTTTAAATTTTTTTCTTCAAATAATCATATTTTTTAAAAATTTACCAAATTAATTATTTTTTAAACAAAAAAAATTGTCACACAGAGGAGTAGTCACTCTGTGTGGCGCATGCATGCTTTTTAGAGAGGAGGCGTCACTACATGATTTGTCCTCCTCTATAAAGTCATGCAGTGTGGTGCATGCATGTATTTGCAGAGAGGAGGCGTCATCTTCTTTGACTTGACAAAGTTATTTATTAATTTTTTTGACGATATAAAATAACGTACCTTCCAGCAATTTGGTAAACTGGACCACACTGCAATTTGACTTCTAGTCTATCTTTGAAACGTGCAAAATTTGATTTCTTATTTGTCCGAAAGCGCATAAAATCTGTATTACGGAAATTAAAACCGAAGCTATCACAGTTGAACGTCTCACCTTTAATATGGGCAACAATAGTATAATTTTATAAATGATCCATGTTGTTGAGGTATGTTTTTTTGTGAGTTATGGATGTATACTAGTAATGCATCCTACACAGACGATTAAACAGACTGATGAAAGTATGGGATGTCCTCTATATTTTGCATGCATGTGCCACCTAGGATGGCTTGTCCTCTTTTTTTTGGATGCATGCGCCACTTAGGGTGGCTTGTCCTCTTCTTTTTTTGCATGCGTGCGCCATCTAGGTTGATTTGTCCTCTTCTTTTTTAATTTTAATTTAAAAAAATTAATAAATAACACTGTTAAGCCAAAGAAGATGACGCCTCCTCTCTGCCAATATATGCATGCGTCATACTACATGACTTTACAGAGGAGGACAAGTCATGCAATTTGCCACCTCCTCTCTAAAAAGCATGTATGCGTCACACAGAGTAGCTACTCCTCTGTGTGACGAATTTTTTTTGTTTAAAAAGTAATTAATTTGGTAAATTTTTTTAAAATATGATTATTTAAAATAAAAATTTAAAAATATAATCATTTAAAAAAAAGATTCTTGTCATTGCGTTTAACTTTCCACCATTTAAGATCTTTTTTTCATTACTCCATTTCAAGTTTTCAAAGCACAATTTTTTTTATAACAAATTCACAAAGGTTTTATTTTTTGATATTTTAAATATATATAATATATTAAAATAAACTATTAATATTTTTAAGTTTTTTATTTTAAAATCACATTATCTTTATATTTATTTCACTTTGTCAAAAATAAATTTAATTGAAAGTAAATTGGATTTTTTAATTAATTAAAGATCATTTCATATTCATATTTATTCAAATATTTAATCAAGTTGGACCGGTTGTTAATATGAAATTTTACTTTTAAAAAAATTAATTAAAATTAATTATTAATAATAGTAAAACTAATGATTATTTTATAATTTTTAGTTGAAATTTGAACAATATATTTAAATAAAACTAATTTGAGCAGTATTTGTAGAAACACATAGTTTAAATTACAAACTAAATAATTCTTTATTAGATATCAATTCAATTATTGTTTTATACTTAAATCTCTTTATCTGATTTTCTTCTTCTTTCATTCAAAACAGTCAAACTAATGCAATATAAATAAGGATGATCATCACACACACATGAGGGTAACCTAAGAGTTTTTGTTTTTGTTATTCACTTATTCATAATATGTATGCAAACTAGCCTTTGGAAATGACAATTTTTTGAAAGTGAACCCGATTTACTAAAGTAAATTGTTTTTAGGATTAAATATGTTTTTTTTAATATAAATATCTCAAATTTTATTTTTAGTCTTTATTAAAATAATTTAGTCCCTACAAAATTATTATGCACGTAGATTTAGTCTCTGTTGTTAAATCATTGTGTATTTTTGAATGATTATTTTGTAGACATGTTTAGAACGTTATAAAAAGTTTTTTAGAAAAAAAATTCAAAATTTGATTTCTAAGTCGAGATTTTCATTATTTTTATCAATATCTTTTGAAATTTAAAAAAAAAATCATATTTAATTCTTCTTATTTTAAAAAATTCTAAAATTTGATAAAGAAACATTTTATAGTATTCTAAACACATATGGAAAATATTATTCAAAATTTTAAAAGTTTAAGGATAATTAAACAGTTTTTAAAATTTTAGAAAATAGTAGGGACTAAAACTGAATGAACAAAAATTTTTTAGGAACCAAAATTTGTCATTTTTTAATAGGGATTAAAAATAAAATTTGAGATATTTATAAGGAACAAAAACATATTTAACCTTATTTTTATTTCTATCAGTAGATTTTTCATAAACAACTATTTTTCTTAAGAATTAGGGATTAACCGCTATTGGATTGAGTAATCGGGTAAAGATTATCAAACTTAGTCGGTGCATTTGTCTTTTACTATCCTTTTTAATTTATTTTTTTAGTTTTATATTTTCTCAGTTAATCAAACATAGTGTACGAATTAAATATATGTCAGACTATTTAGTTAAACTATTCAGAGGATACTCTCAAAGGGTTCACATGCTACATTACATGACAATATTAAATTCATATTCAATTTGGGAGACTTTAGGTGTTCATACAATATTGATTTTGTTAAAGATTTTCTGGTGTCTTTATCCTCAGCCTCTCCTCCCTTAGAGTTTTTCTTTCTCAAAATCTTCATGTCTTTCATCATATTCAATATTATCATATTTCAGTGGGTCGGTTGAGATATCAGTTGCAAATGATTAAGGGGGATTTTGTTAAAATTTTGGATCGCAAGCTTAATAATTATGCACGGGTTGATGATGATGGCCCATCCCTTATATAGTTGTTGATGAACCGGGTTAAGATTAACTCAGTTCAATATTTTTCAAACAAGATAATTGATTGTAGGGCTATTGGTAGGAAAACTTTGTGGTATTACTCTCTAGTCGATTTACTTTTATCTAAACACGAAATTGAGAGTCATTCTGCTCAACTCACTGTATCGAATGTTGCAAATGGATTCTCTTTGAGTGTTCGACATCAGATGCACTACCTTAGTCTTAGTGATCTAGACGGTGAGTGGTACAATAATATCGAAAGGAGTAAATATGGATTCCCTTGATTGTGTTGCAAGCACGATTCAACGAGGGGAGCAAAAGATCGAAAGGAAAATTGTCTTTCAGAGGGAAGACAAATTTCCAGAATTTTGGTGGAAAATATCCACAAATTCAAAGGCTTCGATGGTGAAAAGAGGTGAGAGCAGCTCCAAAGGTAGTGGTCAAGGAAACTATACCAAAAAGTTTGACAAGAGTAATGTGAAGTGTTACAATTGCCATAGACTTGATCATTTAGCAAAGAATGCAATGCAAAATCAAGGGAAAATCAAATCGATGAAGTTAAGGTTACTCGAAAGGAGGTGCATGATGATAACACACTTCTGTTCATGATCACAGAGGAGAATTATGGCAAGAAAAATCTACTGGACAACAGTAGTAGCAGTTGTCAGTGGTTGGACAGTAGTGTCAACAGCTCGAAAAATGCTGCAGAAACGCGTTTAGGGAAAAACATAATGGTAATTGTTCAATATGAAGTCCAAGGAAGTGATGAGTGGTACTTGGATTCCGGCTTTTCAACG